GGGCTGGGGGTGACTCACAGAGCTCGCAGAGTTGGGCCGGTCTGGCGCGCTTCACTCCGCCCCTGCGCCTATTTTCATTACTTTAAATAAATTTTTTGATTTCCTGTTTAATTTCTTCTTGGAACCATATGTCATTAAGTAGAATACTGTTTAATTTCCATGTATTTGTATAGTTTCCAGAGTTTTGTATTTAATTTATTTCTAATTTTAATCCATCGTGATCTGAAAAAATACATTGAATAATTCCAATTCTCTGAATTTGATGAGACTTGATTTGTGACCTAACATGTGATCTATCCTGGAGAATGTTCCATGTGCTGATGAGAAGAATAAATATTCTGAGATTGTTGGATGGAATGTTCTGTAGATATCTGCCAAGTCCAATTGGTCTAGAGTTGTTTGGCTCTTGTGTTTCTCTGCTGATGCTTTGCCTAGGATTATCTGGCCAATATTGATAGCGGGTTGTTCAGGTCCCCTGCTATTATGGTATTAGTGTCTATTTCCTTCTTTAGGAATAATAGAGTTTGCTTTATAAATCTGGCTGCTCTGACATTGGGTGCATATATATTTATGATTGTTATGTCTTCTTGATAGATCAATCCTTTTATCATTATGTAGTGGCCCTCATTATCTCTTTTTATGGTTTTTAGTTTAAAATCTATTTTATCAGATATAAGAATAGCTACTCCAGCTCAATTTTCATTTCTGTTTGCATGGTAAATCTTTTCCCATCCTTTCACTCTTAGTCTGTGTGAGTGCGCCGCTTGGGAAGTGTGGTGGCGCTCCCGCCGAGGGTTCGGATCCCACATACAGACCGGCCGCTCACTGGCTGAGCGAGGTGCGGGAGCAACACCGAGGGTTGCGATCCCATAGCCGGTCCCGGTCCGGTACGGGCGTGACACTGAGGGTTGCGATCTGTTGCCAGGCACGAAAAAGGACAAAAAAAAAAAAAAAAGGAAAAAAAAAATTTGATGAGACTTGATTTGTGACCTAACATGGGTCTATCCTGGAGAATGTTTCATATGCTGATGAGAAGAATGAATATTCTGAGGTTACTGGATGGAATGTTTTGTAGATCTCTGCCAAGTCCAATTGGTCTAAAGTACTGTTTAGTTCTTGTGTTTCTCTGTTGATTGTTTGCCTAGATGATCTGTACAATATTTAGAGTGGGGTGTTCAGGTCCCCTGCTATTTGGTATTAATGTCTATCTCACTCTTTAGGTCTAACAGTGTTTGCTTTGTAAATCTGGCTGCTCCAATGTTGGATGCATATATATTTATGATTGTTATGTCTTCTTGACGGACAGATCCTTTTATCATTACATAGTGGCCTTCTTTATCCCTTTTTATGGTTTTTGGTTCAGTCTATTTTATCTGATATAAGAATAGCTACTCCGGTGCATTTTTTGTTTCTATTTGCATGGTATATCTTTTTCCATCCTTTCACTTTTAGTCTATGTGTATTTTTACAGGTGAGGTGAGTCTCTTGCCAGCAGCATATAGTTGGGTCCACCTTTTTAATCCAGTCAGTCATTCCGTGTCTTTTGAGTGGAGAATTTAATCCTGTTACATTGAGTTGTTATTGAAAGGTGCTGATTTACTCCTAGCATTTTATTGATTTTTGTTTGGATGTCTTAAGTATCTTCTGTTCCTTTCTTTCTGATTCACTGTTTGTCTTCTGTGTTTGTTCGTTTCTTGGGGTGATAAACTTTTTTTTCTCTTTATTGTTAGCATTTTTGTTTTACTGGTGGGTTTTGTTCTTTCTTGAGTTGTATATGGCAGTGGTGGATGTTTTTCAGGTGTACCAAACCTAGTACTCCCTTGAGAATTTCTCATAAGGCTGGTTGTGCGGCAGTGTACTCCTGCAGTTTTTGTTTGCTTGAGAAATATACTATTTGTCCTTCATTTCAGAAGGATAGCCTTTCTGCGTAAAGTATTCTTGGCTGGCAATTTTTGTCTTTTATTATTTTGAATATATCATCCCATTCTGGCTTTTAGGGTTGCCTGATGAAAAGTCTGATGTTGGTCTGATTGGGGCGCCCTTATAAGTGACTTGACGCTTCTCTCTTGCAACTTTTAAGATTCTCTATCTGTCTTTGAATTTTGCCAATTTGACTATAACACATCTTGGAGAGGACCTTTTTGGGTTGAACAGGCTTGGGGATCTTTGAGCCTTCTGAATCTGAATATCTGTGTCTTTCCCTGTACATGGGGAATTTTCTGCCATTATTTCATTGAATGTGGAATATCCATGATTTGGATATGGGAGTGTTTAAGGTTGTCTGTTATCTCTCTCAGATTTTCTTCAATATTTAAAATTCTTTTTTCTTGTCCGCCTGTGTTAATTCAAACAGCCCATCTTCAAGGTCAGAAATTCTCTCTTCTGCTTGTTCTAGCCTGCTGGTTAAACTCTCTGTTGTGTTTATTTCATTGAATGAATCCTTCAGTTCCACAAGCTCTGCTACATTCTTTTTCAGGGCATTGATTTCTTTGTACATTTCTTCTTTCAGGTCCTGTATACTTTTTCTCATTTCATTGTGTGGTCTAACTGAGTTTTCTTGTATCTCATTTAATTTCCTTAGAATTGTTGCTCGATATCCTTGTCATTTCAAGGACTTCCTGTTCTATAAGATCTAGAGTTTAAGAGTTATTATTTTCCTTTGGTAGTGTCATACTTTCCTGATTTTTCATATTTCTGGTATCTTTCCTCTGGTGTTTAGTCATTGTGGCAGGGGATTTCATAGTCCACTCATTCGACCCTACTGTCTGGCTAGGATCCTGCAGTGACTGCCAATTCAGCATGGCTACCTCGGAGTCTGTGTGTTGGTGGCTTGGGCCTCTCTGGGCACTGGGGACTGGGGACTGGTTTGGGCTGGGGATCCTGCAGTGCGTTGCTTGCCTGTTTTCATGAGGGTGACTTGGGGTCCTGTGGGCCCGGTGGCTCCTGGGCCTCTCTGGGCAGCACGGACGGGCCTGGGCGGAGGTTCTCTTGGTGTGCTGCCTACCTGTTGTGGCACAGGTGCTTGGGCCTGTGGGTCCAGTGGCTCTCGGATCTCTCTGGGTGGCGCAGACTGACCTGGGCTGGGGATCCCGTGGAGGTGCCTACCTGTTCCAGCACAGGTGGCTTGGGGCCTCTGGGCCCAGGGGCTCTCAGGCCTCTCTGGGCAGCGTGCACTGGCCCCAATACTTGAATTTTTTTTTTTTTGTCCTTTTTTGTGACTGGCCGCATCGTGCTCAGCCAGTGAGCACATCGCACCGGCCATCCCTATATAGGATCCGAACCCGCGGCGGGAGCGCTGCTGTGCGCTCCCAGCATCGCACTCTCCCGAGTGCGCCATGGGCTCAGCCCACTCAATACTTGAATTTTAAATAAAGGCAGAATCCAACCCTATACTTGCTGCACTCAGCCTTGCTCACCTCACCTGGCCCTAACTGGCTTTTTAATTATTAACACTTATCTGCAAGTTAGAAATATAAATCATTTTGGTAGGATATCTTGAGTTTTACTTTAAGCTTAACTGAGAGTCATATTATAAGACTATGCTTTCAAAATAAGTGCACAAAACCTTTTTATATCCACTGCTAATGAGCTGATGTACTAGCAAAACCTCTGTATTGGTGGTATACCCCAAACTAAAAAATGCCCGAATCCTCAACATATATCATTCCACTATTTTGATACACAGTTCATAGCATAAACTTTCCTATATGACTACAAAATATATATATTTTTAATTTGGAGGCTGTGCAAATCTCTTCCAAAAAATTTTCTCAGTACTTACGTGGTCACAATTACATTGTACTCTTCATATTTACTATGAATGTTGAATCTAATTTGTTTACGTTCTTCTTGAGAGCCTAGAATTTAAAAACAATACACACATTTTGACTGTATTTATAGTGCTTTACTATAATTTTAATGAAACTCCCAAAGTAAAAAGCAAAATGACATATTCTTACCATAGTAACAGAGCACCTTTAAAGTGGGGCACCATAAATTAACTTCCCTTAACCAGTTATCTATGAAATAAAAGAGATATTACTTGCATCTGCTACAATAGGGTATGTTCACACAGTTAAAAATACTGAAGTTTGACAAGTTCTACTCAGAATTATTCTTTTATAAATATAAATAACATGATAATTTTGTTTTTATTACAGACCCTTCACAAATTACTCCTTATAATTAAAATGATCTTGAGGTTTTGAAGAGGCATCAAAATAAGGGACAGAAGACCAACTATTATATTTATAGGTGATTATAAACTTTCAATTTAAAGAGATTTTTATTTTGTTACATTCATATGTAGAAACAGTCTCTTACTCTAACTTCCACACCCAATCAATTTAGAAAGAATAGAACAGTAATTTCAGTAGGGATTAATCACAAACTTTCTAATTTAATTCACTAAATGTTTAATTATAAATGAAAAAGTACTTATTTGCTTAAATACTCTAGTAAACTTATCAAATGGTCTTAGTACTACAATAATGTAAAAACTGAATAAGTGACTTTTATTTGAATTATTTTCTGTTAAAAGACTGCCAATACAACAACAACAACAACAACAACAACACACACACACACACACCCTTCTACCTACATAAAACACTATGAAGTCAAGTACAGTTGTCTCCAGTATTACAAACCTATAGTTGAGGCTGGAACAACGATCAAATGAGGACCTTTATTACCCTCCTGATAGAGGTATGCCAGGAACGCAATGGCTTGAATAGTTTTTCCTAGGCCCTAAAATTAAGTTTAAAAGACAATATATGAAATTTAAAAAAGAAAACAAAAAACAAATAAATATTTGAAAATACAAAAAGAAAAGAAGCCTTTCTGGGCTGTATTCATTTCAGACATCCCATCAAAAAATTCTAAGAAAACTTCTATGTTCTTAGTTCTCAAATGAGAAAATTGATCAAATCTTTGATGTACTTTAATAAGCAGGAGAGATGGATCTTAATTGCTAGTTTATATGTGACACACGTTAATATGGAATTCTTTTTGTATTGTACAGAAAGGACATAATTTTGTTTACTGCTTATATATAGCAAATATTTAATACACACTGGATGGATTGAGGATGATGTCCCATGACTAACTGGAGTTAAACATATACCTAGTCTATTACCCAGCAATTCCACTCTTAAGAATATTATCAAGAGGGGAGGTGAGAAGAGGGTGGGGAAGAATATTATCAAGAGATTTGAGAGCATATGTCCACAAAAGGACTTGGGTAAGAATGTTCATAGCAGTTTTAGTAGCTGAATATTGGAAATAACTTACATGTCCATCAACAGAAAAATAAACAAATTGCGGCATGTTTATACCATGAACTACCATATCACAGGGCAATAAAAAAAGAAAGCAAACTGCTGATACATGTAAGAACACAGATGAATTTCAGTAACATTATGTTATACCAAATGAACCAGAAACAAATAGTACATACTGCATATACTATATAACTAAGAAAAATTAATCCATGGTGATAGATGTCAGGATAGTGGTGGTGGTAATGACTCTAAAAAAGCATGAGGAACTTTCTGGGTTGATGAAAATGTTGCTTTTTTTTCTTTTTTTTTTCCTTTTTGTCTTTTTTCGTGACCGGTAATGGGATCGCAACCCTCGGTGTCGCACCTGTACCGTGACTGGCAACGGGATCGCAACCCTCGGTGTTGCGCCCGCACCACGCTCAACCAGTGAGCGGACCGGTCTCTATATGGGATCTGAACCCTGGGCGGGAACGCCGCCGCGCTCCCAAGCACCACACTCTACCGAGTGCGCCACCAGGCCGGCCCGAAAATGTTGCTCTTGATGGTGGTCATGTGGGTGTACATATATGTGGAAAGTTCCTAAGCTGTACATTTGTGATTTTACTGCAAGTAAATTAGACATCAATAAAATACTGGTTCAAGAAAAACCTACTGAGGAGATTTAGCTCCTTAGGGGAGCTAAACATTACCAACTGTTATGAACTGAATTGTGTCTGTCCCCACCGCCCCCAAATACATATGTTGAAACTCTAACCCCAAATGTGGCTATATTTAGAGACAGGGCCTCTTAGGAGAAAATTAAGGTTAAAGGATGTCATAAAGGTGGGGTCCTAATCCAATAAGGCTGGTGTCCTTAAAGGAAGAGAGATGTGCGCACACAGAGAAAAGGCCATAAGAGGACACAATGAGAAGGTCCACAAACCAAGAAGAGAGGCCTCAGAAGAAACCAAACCTGCCATCACTGTGATCTTGAACTTCCAGCCTCCAGAACTGTGAAAAATAAATTTCTGTTGTTTAATCCCCTCAGTCTGTAGTATTTTGTTATGGCAACCCTAGCTAACTAGGCCACAAAGTTATCAATATTATGTTTTAAAGGTTACAAAAATAGTCTCATTATTTTTTTAAATAATATATCTTATTTGATACCAAATGCAATCTTATAATATAGCAATTATCTACATTTTATTAATATTAGTTCTGAGAGGTTAGGTCACCTGGCAAGGATCAGACAGACCAGGAGAGGCAAAACTGGGGCCCAAAACCCAAGCCTGAGTCCCAGGTCTAGTTACACAACTAGACTACGCAGTTATTGCATATGTAATTTCTATAAGTATTTTGAAATCCTGTATATATTATTCATTTTCTATTAGATAAATAGCACCTTTATTTTAACGACAGTATGAAGTATGTATGGGAATGTGTCTTATAGTACCGAAGATTACCTTCCTAGAAGCTAACTAGGGAACAAGCAGCACTAATCTTTGTTCATTTTTATTTTGGGAATCCTCATAGTGGAATACACATGTACATATAAATGTTTTCTCTCTTGAACAAGACTAATTTTAAATAAGCACTATATAAAAGGATAGCTGGAGGGAGACAATGGTAGAATAAAGGTCAGGTCTCTACATGACAATACCTGGACTATTGGCTTTAATGTACTTTCTGAACTTAGCTTTAAACAAATGTGATGTGGGAAAGAAAAAAAGACTCCGAAAGACATCAAAGAAAAGTAAAATGGCTGAAATGATGTTGCTGATATATGTGTGGATTTATTTCCTGACAAGTATAAGTATCTGTGTTAAATTAAAATTTAAAAGGCAGCCATAGAAAAGCACATATAGCAAAATGTCAGTATTACGTATGTTTTTATATGTATATACATGTGTACACACACACACACAAACACACACAACCTGCAGAAGAAAAAACCTAGAAAGACAGACACCAAACTAATGCTTGTTTCTAAGTGGTAGGATTATGGGTAACTTTGCTTTTCTTCTTTGTGTTTTTATGTAATTTCTAATTTCTAATACATCTATTCATTAATCAAAGACAATAAACCTATTTTTATTTGGGGAGGAGGGAGGAGGCTGGAACTAAGACAGGCAATAGAACACAGAGAGGGGTGAGAGAAATTATAAGATAATGAAGTGAGAGCAGTTCATTACGGTGGCAAGGAAAAATTTCACATTTTAAATGACAGCAAGGATGGCTTTTAATTACACTTTGAATAATAAATCCTATAAATAGAGCACACTTACCATTTCATCTGCCAAAATGCCATTAAGTCCATGTTTATGTACCAATGCCAGCCAATTCAAACCAACCTTCTGATAAGGCTTGAGTGACAAACTGGTAAAGAAAGAGTTACCAAATATTATATATTTATGCTTCCATTAGTTTTCTGTACTAGTTTTCTAACATTAACTTTAGGCTTACAACACACATGAAAACTGAAATGCCTAGGTCTAGACTTACCTTTTAACCTACTGTTAAAAGCTATGTACACCTACTTAAGAAAATGAACCCAACACATAATTTTTTTATTTTCTCAAACTTTATTCTGTATTTGTTGACTTATTTCTTCTGGCAATAAGAATTACGTATTTCCATATTTGGTCATAATGTAATGCCACCTAATTAATCAATTCCATAAATATTCAGAATAATAACTATGATACCATATTACTAAGCTATATATACTAGAAAATTGTAGTGTACTAATTTGATTTTTAGCAAATTAAGGAACTTCAAAGTATTAGAACAAAAAACACAAACATAATTTGCTACTTTGCCAGGCTGGTTTTATAAATACTTTCTGAGTGTGTGACAATCACCCCGAATGTCACTGGTATAATCCTGAAGTGTGCTTATATGCATGTATTTGTTTGTGTTCTATGTACAAATGTAAACTTGCCAGATATCAATGATCATCAGTGAGTAGAAAATAGCATAGCAGTGTTAAAAATCTTATTTTATTTGGAAAAACATACAGAGACTAATCTCTGGGAATGAGCTGTTTGAAAGGTAATATGGGAGAGTTATAATGAATGACAAGAACAATTTTTTCTAACAGTTCAATTGGTTAAAAACTAATAGCAGTAATTTATTGAATACCTATTATATACAGACACACACAGATATCCTTTTTCAGACATCATCTCAATTAGCCCTCTAAACATCCTGTAATATACCTATTGAAATGAAAAACCCTGAGACTCAGTAATTTGCCTGAGGTTGCATAGCCACAAAGTGTTAATGCTAAGATTTTAATTCAGGAAATCTATCTCACTCTAATGCCTATTTTTATACTCACTAGGATAGCATATGAGGGTACTTCAAACAGTTCATGGAAAAATGGAATTATAAAGATAATAGGAGTCTTTCAATGAACTTTGAAGACCCTTCATACATACCATGTTAACGTGAAAACCTAGGACATGGCCATGCCTCCTATCCTTCCAATTTTTATCCTGTCCCCTTAGTTTCCTCTTACATACATCCTGTCTGCATGTAGGGTTGGGGTCTAGACATAGCTATGGTATAATAAATGGTTAAAGGGTCAAATTCTAAAATCAAAATACTTTAATTAGAATGAAGTAAAAGAAGTGGGGTTGAAAGATGTCCATCTTAAATCAGAATCTTTGTTTCAACTGTGGGGTATGCAGCCTATAAAATGTTTCTCACTTAAAAAATTAAAAGTATACGTAGGAGAAAAATTAATAGTATTTCTAAGGTTTTTACAGTTCTTTAGCTGGATTTTAAAAAACATCTTTTGCCTTCTTAGCCAATACAATTTCTATGCTACTACAAAAGTAATAATAAATAAAACATATTACTGTAAATATTTTAATTTTTAGATCCAAAAGAATTTTTTTTACTATAGTTAGTGGTGAGAGTAAATACTAACATAGAAATATTTACCATATTCCAGACACTATGCTATGGGCTTTATATGCATTATTATTTCATTTAATCTACATTTTATTATAAAGTAGATAATTATCCCCATTTTACAGATAAGTTCACTGAGCCTCAGAGAAGCTAAATAACTTGTCCAAGGTCATATAGCTAACCAAATCTCATGTGTGCAGTGGTAGAGCCAGTATCCAAGCTAGGTCTGATCCAGAGGTCAGCCCTTGACCACTAAATACAAAAACGAAAAAGTTTCTCTCTCTCTGACCCACCCACCCTATGGTCAACACTGAGTTCTCCATTATTTTTCTGAGTCCTTCCCAATGCTGTAGTCATCCCACAAACATAAAGTTCACATTTTGTAAAAATAATGAAACTTGGTAAGGCAGGCATATTACATCACCTATAATTGTATTCAAGGGCCAACATCCCATCCTAGTGTATAGCCTATCGCAAATAACCCAGAAATATAATAAGCAAAAATTACTGAATTCTTCATCACCAACACATGTTGAGAAATAAGTCTAACTGTCAAAATACTCATTATACATCAAATTTTAAGAAGTGATAAGGAAATTTTAAAAGCATCTACTACAAAGAATTTTCTATTCAAATAAAATTCGCAATCACAAAAGTTCTGGTAAAGTGTTTTGATCAGGACATTAAACAGTTTTATTATATATTAAAATATTTGTTTTAAAAATATATAAGTATTAATACGTGTGTGTATATTTGCCTCTCTGCTAGATTTGTCTAAATCACAATTAACTTTCTGTTGCTTAGTATCACAGAAGTGCTGTCCATTAGTTCCTTTCATCAGAATGTAAAAGAATCAATGTAAATGCAGTTTTGACAAAGACTCTTTGAACCCAATTCATTTAATATGACATTTTAAAACAGCATAGCTATATTCTTTTCTCTAGTAGGTTCTAATATTTAGATGCCATATAATCATACTCCACATTATTTTGAAACTCTACAGTTTTCTAGGGATTTTCATGACTGCAAATAAACCCCAACCACCAATTTACAGATAAGAATGTAGGGATTTGCTCAGGTCTTCTGAATTAGTTAAGTGCTCTCTTCTCAATATAGTAGTACAAATATCTCCAAACTAAAGGTTTTCTTTCCTCCCACTAAGAAAAAAAAAAAAGATTTTAAGATTTTCTGAGATCAAGAAAGAAAATGAGACAGGTTATTTTGAAGTTACTTGTCTTGGAAAAAAAAAAATCCTTCCGGCAGAGTTACTATGATTTCTTCACAGTGTGAAGATTAAATTGGATTTAAATCTCCTGTCATAGAAACTAGTTTCAAAATTATTTTCAAAGGTGAGAAAGGCCTAAAATAGAAACAACAGGTTACGTATATAATGTGTTAAATCTGACTTTAAAATGCAGAAATATAGTGCTAGAGAGACTTGTTTGAAGCAGTCTCTCTAAACTGTTTTTTATACAGATTATGGATGCTGACCAAAAGTTTATGTCCCCTAAGTACGACCTGGCTGCTGAATATATTACCATAATACTAGTTTGTACTAACAGAAGTATTCGAACTAAAATATTTACATCCTAGTATTTTGAGTTAGTCAAACCACATATGGGGTATTGATTTGCATTCACATCACTGTCACATGGTCTCATAGCTCCTGTTTAAGACCAGGATAGGCAATGATCCAGAATGAACAAGATCAGAACTCTGGTAGATTTGGCTCAGAAAAGACAGGACACACACGATTAAATATATTGTATTGTGAACATGTGAGAAAGTTTTTCAGTTAGAACAGTTTAAAGCTGTTAAATTTTAGATTAATTGCTAAAGCTTTATAGATGGCTACATCTAAGGAGAATAAAACAGAAGAAACAGTGAATTCTTTTTTTTCCCCCTCACTGTATTATATTTTAACTAAGCAATTTTAATTTTGACATTTTAAGATAAAGATCATAAATGTAATGATTTAGAGGTACATATCAGAAATTTAATTTTTCCTTACAAAGGCTTTATTTTTAGCAAATCCTGGAATGTCTCTACTTGTTTCTCTAAAAGGCAATTTTCCTTCTGTTACAATTCACATAAATTTGTAATAGAAACTAAACAGTAAACATTAATTTTCCTTCAAAGTAAGCTTTGCTACAAAGAATTTGTTCTGTTAACAGAAAGATGCAAGCATGATAGATTATTCATCAGGATAGTCTAATATTTTCCTATATGCTATTAAATTCTTTCCCAAGGCAAGGAAACAACTTTAAATGTCTCTATACTAAGCAGCCTCAATGCCTGGCCAGTACACCAAGTAAAAATTGCTTGTGCAACTCTTACCTTGGCTGAAGAACAAAAACTAAGACAACAAATTCCACCCCCTAAAAGTGCACTTAAATAAACTCTAAAGAAACTATCTAAACAGGTTTTGGAAGTTGAATTAGATCCAATTATCACATTAAAAAAACAAAAACAAAAAACACTATTTTTCTTATTAAATATTTCGTTTAAAAAAATCCTCAGTCTAATGAAAGGATAGTTTATTACCTGATCATACTATTTACAAGTAATAGGACCTTGTGAATGTGGGTTTAAGAGAGAAATTTTTAAAGTGATGCAATAAAGCACTTGATTTTTTAAATTCCAAATTATGATAAAGTAGACTCAACTGGGTAAGTCTTGTAGAGTGAAGAACTCCCCACATCCAGTGCTGGAGAACAAGAAGCAGCAGCTCCAACTACACTTTTAGGAGATGAATTTGCTGATATAGTTCTTTCTATGCAAGAGAGAAAAGAGCTTCTTTGTGGGAACTGCATCACGTTTCCCTACACCATCCCATAGCACCCTAGAAGGGCACAGAAAAGATTGTAGCTTACTATTAAAGGCCAGTAACCATAGCTTGGTTTTTTTTTTTTAATACCTTGATTTTTAATTATTAATCAATGATCAGCAAATATGCTTTGATCATTAACTTAGAAAAAACCCAGAAGTAAATAAAATAACCAAGGTAATGAATTTTAACGAGACTCTAGTGCTAATCTTATTAAAATATGTCAGAAATATTCTAAACAGATGTAACTCATTTTTAAAGCTGCATAACATTGCTCAGTATGAATATACCGTAATTCATTCCAACTATTCCCTGATTTTAGGAACTCAAATTGTTTCCATGTTTTGTCACTATAAATAATAGCATAGTAAATAATTTTATATATTTTTTAAAAGGAAGTATTCTGAACAGTTCTGAGTCTCTGAACTACGTAAAAATAAACAAACTTTTAAAGGAAGTTCAAAACAATTTCCCCCACCCCAACTGCTGACACCATGCAAAATGTGGGTGGTCACAATTACAAAAAGCCATTTAAATATGTACTGGCTATTGGACAATTTTTAATGTTTATTTTTTGCAAGCATTTTGCCAAGGTATTTTACTGAAGGTAGCATTTCTGGGGAATATGTATACTTATATAATCTATTTAACAAAAGTATCTGTCCTTTCCCTTTCTGATGTGTTTCTATTCCAAAAGAAGATTTAAAAATCTGGGCTTTTCAAAGCATTTAAAACATTTCATCACAAATATAGAATATTTTAATCATTTCATTTTATTTATGATTAAAAAGAAAATGGGCTAAGACAAAAATTTTTAAACTGATGACTTATAAGCAAGCAGCTTTTTCTTGAAACACCAAATTTATGTATAGAGATAGCTAAAACTACCTTTTCAGTTTCTGTGATTATATAAGAATTATCTGTTATCAGACAAGGAAGGCATAGGTTACATAACATTATACCATTTCCCCCCTCTAATTTATAGTAATATGATGGAATAAAATACTCTGCTGGGGAAGGGGGAAGAGAATCAATAAAAATTTATATACCACTTATGTGCTATTATATAGGAAATTTTGGGGGTTTTCTTCTAACATCAGTTGCCATATCACTTCCACATTTAATTTCCCCAGACACAATACAGAAATAAGTTCAGATATTTTATACAATTGAGAAAAAATAATAAATGTGTTCAACAAACTACCTTTGGTTTAGAATGGAGGGCTGTTCGATGTTCCATCCACCTCCGTTTCCCGTGAGCATGGTAACTTGTTTGGTCAATTTATTTGAAATGTCTTCACATTTGTTCATAAGTTTTATAACTACATCCCTTTCTTGGATCAGTGTTTTACAGTGCCATATTAAATCTTCTGATAAGCCATTAGTTTTGGACATCTTTGTGAACTATGGTATGAAAAGAAAAATAATTATATAGTTCAGATACAGTAAATAGAAAGCCAACCTTGATTTCTTTCTTTAAGGGAAAAAAGTTTAGTTTAAACTTATAATAATGAACTTAATCAAGTGCTAACAGAAACTGATTCTTCATGTACACATTCTTTTTTTTTTTTTTTTCCTTTTTTTCATGACCGGTAACGGGATCGCAACCCTTGGTGTCGCGCCTGTACCGCGACCGGCAATGGGATCGCAACCCTTGATGTCGCGCCCACACCGCGCTCAGCCAGTGAGCGGACCGGTCTCTATATTAGATCCGAACCCTTGGCGGGACCACCGCCGCACTCCCAAGCACCGCACTCAACTGAGTGCGCCACCGGGCCGGCCCCATGTGCACATTCTAATTCCCAAGTTTTCCACTTTGATATCTTATTGTCACTTCAAACTCATTAAGCTGAAATAAAACATATCTTTCCTCCTAAACTGCATAATCCCAAACTTTTCAGTTTGACCCTGGGAAGCTATTGTCTTATAGGAGAAACAATAATCATTAGTAAGTCCCACGAAATTTTGTTTTCTTTTCAATATCTCAAATTCACCTTTCTCTATCACCAAAGGTAATAGTACCAAACATGATAACTGCATACCTGATACCTTGCCTCCATTTTGGTCATTTCCTATGACCATTACTCATTAAGATTAATTTTCCTAAAACATATTTTTCCATTTTTATCCTCAAAGTGCAACCCCTCAAGTTTTAAAAACTCCAATTATTTGTCACTTGATGCTTTACTCCTAAACTGAAACTATTACTTTGAGAGACATCACATGAATCGAAAGTTAACTATGACCAATTCAATACTTAGACAAAACTTGCTATATACCAGAATTAGAATTCTTCATACAGATGGCTGAAAAAAAATATTCTGAAGAACATCACAAAAATATTTTTAGTGAAAAGGATTAAAAGCCCAATAACTGTCTGAAAGCTTCCTGGACAAAAACAAAATCCCATAATCCAGAACTGAATAAAAGACCAAAGTAAAACCATATGTTAGGATAAAACCACACATGATTTTGATTCATGTCATGTTATTTAGCATATTTTTCCAAGTTACAACTAGAATCACATTAACAACTCTAAATGATTCCTGTGATCACAGTATTTCTAAAGTCAGAGAAATTCAAGCAACAGAAATTTAACACTTCCAGGATATACTAAAATAGCTTCAAAAAATGCATTAAAACAATACACATTTTTCATATTTATCTTAAAATATGTTGGTAAGATATAAAATATCCAATCTATTCCAAAGCTACATTATTAATGTACTGCAGGATTTTAAAAAGATCCCCAAACAAAAAATTTAGTACTTCATAAAATGGCAACGTGAAATACTAAGTTATTTGCACACTACTGTACACTCTCACAAGGACAACATTCATAATCACAATATGACCCCCCACCACCCCCCACTTTGTGTTTCTGGGTAACAGATTATATATAAACATCAAGATAGATAAGAATCAGTGTTTTAAGGAGTTTCTATTACAATTTTAATATTTTTATTTTTAAATGCAACCAAAATTTTATAGGTCAAAATACCAACCTCAGGCCTACTGTGGTGTGTGTATGTATATGTGAGAGAAAACTAACAAGATTTACCAGGAAATAAGGAAGGAACATATATTATGTGCCATTTATGTGAAACTATTAGATGCCTTTTATTCAGTAATTTATTAAAACCTCATAATTGCAAGATTAGCCCACTAATTCTGATAGAATAAACTAAGGTTCAATTTCCAAGGGTCACAAAGCTAGACAAGAGATTCCAAAGTCTGTGCTCATTTCACTGTAACTAGTACCTCCCTAAAATTTTAAGATGTTAAAAGTTCAAAATAAACTTTTCTTTCTGTAACCAACTACCTTTACTGTGTTCTTACTTTTTAGCAACTATTCCTCTAACTGATAAAGGTACCTGATAGAGAACAGTCCCTGTCTCCATGTGGTTTATGGTCATTGGGAAAGACAGGTATCAAATAATTTTAAGTGTAACAACTGGTTATTATGAGAGAGAGAACAGAATTTCATGAGCACTTCTCAAAAGAAACTAATAAAATCTAGGATCTGGGAAGCCCTTTCAGAGTAATAAGGCCAGAAGTAATAAAGAACTTTTAACTAAAAGAAGGCTTTGAGGTGAGAGACAGTTATACCCTGGGTTAGCTGTGGAGAAGTTGATAGATTAGTCATATATAGGAGATGGAATCCATTAAATGTGGTAAGATGAGTGGGGGGAAAAAAAAAAAAAAGTTAAGCATGACTCCCAGACTTCTGGCTTGATAAACTAAGTGATTAGTGGTAACATCTACTGAGATATTGAAATTTACCAATATAGAGAGCAAAGTCTCCTGAATGTATTGTTTGGGGTAACTGCCAAATTTTGAAGAGGAAAGGGCCAGTGTTTAGTTAAATAAACAGATCTAGTAAATAGGGAAGAGATACAGGCTGGAGAAAAAGATGTCACATAGGTGGCCATCAAAGTTAGAGATGATGATGCGATTACCCAAGGAAAAGCACATGAAATTAAAAGAGCCGACTGAGAACAGAATCTTGAAGAACATCAACATTTAAAAGAGTTTGAAAAAAGAATGAAAGCGCACGAAGAAATGTAGATGCGGTACTGGGGAAGCCAAGCAAGGAATAATTTCAAAAGGGAAAGTGCAGTTTCACCTGTCAAAAGAACAATCAACTTACCTGACCTCTTTTGCCAATTAAAGTGAATTTATAGAAAAATATACGAAATGGTACATATTAATTTTTTACAGCACTTCTCATTGACTGTTCTGAGCAATTAAAAATGTAACTATTCACAGTGGTTATTATTCACAATGTTATGCTTGTAAGACATATATCAAAAGCACATAGAGAGGTAAATACCCATCTAATGACAAAATAATTATTCACGAGAAATCTAAAGATGTTACTGTATCTCTGAAGGTTACTGCCTAAGCATAGTATGTGCTTAGTGATGAATAATCATTTGTTATATATATTACCTTTATTTTCCAAAAATGTATAAGGAAATAAAATATCCACTATAAAGATTCCTTACACAGGTAAGTCACATTACTCTTGTTAACAAAACCAATATTAAACAATATACTAAGTGAATATATCCAAAGTGAAGCTGAAGTATACTGAATCTTTAAAAAGTGATTTCAAGTTTCAATTTTTTTTTTTACTAAAAAGAATACAGTAATTCCTCCTTATCCATGCTATTGCTTTCCACAGTTTGTTACCCCTGGTCTCAGTCACCCATGGTCAATAGTGGTTCGAAAATATTAAATGGAAAATTCCTGAAATAAACAATTCATAGGTTTTCAATTGCATGCCGTTCTGAGTACCATGATGAAATCTTGAGCCTGGGATGTGAGTTATCCCTTTAGTTCAGTGTCTCCACACTGTATACGCTCCATGCCCTTTAGGCACTTAGCTGTCTAGGTTATCAAATTAACTGTTACAATATTGCAGTGCTTGTGTTCAAGTAACTCTTATTTTCACAATGGCCCCAAAGCACAACAGTAGTGATAATGGCAATTCAGGTATGTCAAAGAGAAGCAGTAAGGTTTTTCCTTTAGGTGAAAAGGTGAAAGTTCTCAACTTAATATGGGGGAAAAAAAATCACATGCAGAGAGTTGCTAAGCTCTATGGTAAGAACGAATCTTCTAACCATGATATTGTGAAGAAGGGGAAAAAAAATTTGTGCTAGTTTTGCTGTAGTACCTCGAACTGCAAAAGTTATAGCTGTGGTACATGATAAGTGCTCAGTTAAAATGGAAAAGGCATTAAATTAGTGGGTGGAAGACATGAACAGAAACTTATTCTGATTAATGGCAATCTGTTCGGTACTATCCACGATTTCAGGCATCCACTGGAGTTCTTGCAATGTATGCTCTGTGTATGGGAGACTAATGTATGGTACTATTATAGAAATGTTTTCCTTCTTTTTTTGGTGGCTGGCCAGTATGGGGATCCAAAAGTGTTTCAAAAGTGTTTTATGTAACAGATCTTTTGGGAAAAAATTAGCATATCATCTGATGTGTAATTATCAGATTACTGTTTTCTGCCTCTGAACAGCCACCTGAAATGTAAGATTTCTATTATATCTGAACTTCCCAAAAGATGAAAAAAATTACAGAAAACATGAATCCTAAATTTGCTTAAGCTGTTCCAATTTATAAATTTAAAACAGACTTTTTTTAAAAATTAAAAATATCTTTTTTTCTTCTTTTTACTTATTTTTTAAAAGCATAAACTGGTTATGGTCATTTGGAAACCATAAGAGTTAGAAGACAGGGTTGACCAATCATTATTCTTAGAAGTAGGAAATAAGGGAAAGAATTAAGCATTTACTCTGAATTTTGAGCATGAACAGCAATATTTAGACTGGTAGATGTGTGGAGGTACTTTTACAAATAGTTCCTAAAGAAGTAGTAATGACAGTATTAAAATATTAATTCTGTAGCCTCTAATGAGTTATGGGTCTAAGCATGTAGCATCAACAACTGCTAACATTACAAAAAACAACCAGACATTACCTTCTTCTGATAAAAGAACACATCACTATGTAATAGTATTGGTTGAGCATTTAACCTTCTACTTATCATTCTACAGAAAATACATGTCCAGAGAAACATGTCAAACTATACCAGAGAGGTATAACCGGAAAAGTCCAGATAGGGAAGTTATAAAACAAATGAACCAGTTTCTTCACCAAAGATATTGTAGGAAAAAGAGAAAGAAAAGGAGAGAGAGGGATAGGGAAACCACATATTAAAAGAGAGTTAAAAGACCTATCTATCAAGCAAACTCAGTATGTGGATCTCATTTGGATTCTAATTCAAACTACCGAACTGTAAAACAAATACAGCATTTATGAGACAACAAAAAATTTGAACTCCAAATATTTTCTGATATTAAGGAATTATTGACAATTTTTATCAGATAT